AAAAAAACTTGGGAAGCCAGTTGTTTTTGTTTATAATTGTAAAAGGAATGTCTTTAAGATAATAAGGGCCAGGGTGCCATGCCATTTTTCTTTTCATCTCCTTTCTAGTGTAGAATGACACGACTTCAATAGATAACTAATGTGGCAGACAAGATGTTCCCACTTACGGAATTTCGGTTGGCATTGGTCCTCCCACTTCAAAAAATGTCTAAGCACCTGGAAAGAGAATTTCATCGGTTGCATTAGATCAGATTTCATTCTAGTGAAGCACGAAGGTTATTCAGGACCACATTACGGGCCCACTTCTCCATCAATCCCTCTTATCTCTTTCATAGTTGTAGTTTGAGATAAAATCATTTGATTAGTAAAAGAATCTTGCATTATGATTCTAATGTGGAGGAAAATATTGATTAAGAAGGTGCCGTCATATTCAAAATGTTGAAGATCAATGAAACAGTGCAACCAGTTAGTGTTCACGTTCACTGTTCATTCCAGTTCAGTTTCAATTAAGTTGCTGAGAAGTTTCTTTGTTGATTTTTCAATGTAATCTCTATGTATCTTTAACGGTAAGTGTTCACCTGAAAATGTAGGCTGGCATTAATTGTATGCAGCACCATGCCCTTGCTTTATGGGGTTTATATTATTATTTAATTATAGGTGAACATTGTAATGTGCTGGTAGCGTTTTGCATAAAAGAATATGCCAGAAACTGATGTAATACGTATGGAAAATCAATGAGAAAAATCTGAGCATCATATCTAACTCAGTTTGTGTCATTTCCCTCATCTTTCAGATGTTTCTCAAGATTCATTGCTTGGGTTTTATGTTGGTTTGAATCAGTTTTTCTTAACTGATCTTACACAAAACCAAAAATCCATTACCGTTTCCATTTGATTTGATGGATTATCTCTAAATCATATTGAACAGAATTATCAGAAATAAACTTGATATAACATTGCAACAACTTCAATACACAATACATTCACAAGGCATAAAGCTTGATACAATCATACAACCATTACAGCAATGGCTTCAATAGACAGCATATTCACTCTGCATTACCATATCGAACAAGACTCGGGATGAGCAAAAGCAACTTACAAATTTACGTTGAAGCTTTGCAACATCCAAAATCAAGAAGTCATTTACCCTTGAAACTCATTTCAGTCAACAAGGATTATTCAACAAAATTTTCTATGGAAAGCCAATAAAAAAATGTCTCTGAAGTCTAAAGTACTGAAAATCCTCTAAGATACTCTCCTCTTGAACAAACAAAGCTGATTCTTCACCATACACTCCTCTCCATCAAAGGTTGTTATGCTGTGCACAATTGAATTTTTTAGCCATAGAGCCGTATCTTTTATAAAGTGGCCAACTTTCCTTCTCTCCCCTCAATCAAGCAGGATTACTGCTTTCCATTGCAGGATTGACTTTGCTCATCCCCTTAGTCAATGCATAGTAAATGCTATCATCAGAGGTAATGCCTTTACTAACCATTTCCTGCAGAAGCTCTTCACCAAGATCTTCTTCTTGGTTTTTAAATAAACCTTGTATAAGTGCATTGTAAGTCAGGAAAGTGGGATTGAAACCTAAATTCAACATCTCATCGTGAACTCTAAAGGCATCCTTCAAATCACCCTGTCTACTATACCCACTAATGAGGGTGTTGTAACTAATGTGATCAGGTTTAATCCCCCTCCCCTTCATCTCATCCAGAAGCTTATGAGTTTCTTTAACCCTAACTTCCCTGCAATGTCCTTCCATTAAAGTATTTTAGGTGACTTCATCAGGAGAAACCTTAATCTCATCAATTTCCTTCAATAATGAAAATGCACCTTCGATATTACCATTGGCACAGTGACCATCAATCAAGGCATTGAACATTATAATATCTGGTGACACACCTTTACCTGTTATCTTCTCAAATAGATCATCAGCCTCCTTCATTCTCTTCTGTTTACTCAAAACATAAATAAGTGATGTATGTGTCACTCGGAAAGGGTGAATACCCTCAACATCTCATCATGGAGATCAAATGCTTCTGTGGCATTACATACCTGCAGTATCCATTAATCAAGATGTTATTATGTCATCAAGAACAATTCCCTTATCTTCCATTTCTTTTACCAAATGATCAGCTTCAACCATTCTCCCTTCCATAAAGAGAGCATGAATTAACAAATGGTAAATTGATACAGTTGGCATTATACCAGGCTCAATCTTTTCATCCCTATAACAGAAAGCCATTTCCAAATCTCCTTTACTGCAGTAACCATCAAAATCGAATAAGGTGTTGTAATTCACAGCAGTAGGAACCAAACTCATTTCTTTCATCTTTTCAAACATATCTGATGCCTCCTCAAGTCTTTTTCCCACTGAGAATCATATTTGTATGAATCAGGTTCAATACCCTTAGCTGTCATTGCATTTAAAACCAAGCGAGCACCTTCATATCTCCCTTTAGAAAAATATCCATGAATTATCATATTATAATTAACAACATTTGGCTTAACCCCTAAACTCTCCAGAAAGCCAAGGAATTCCTTTGCCTTCAACTTCCCTTCTTTACACATGTATGAAGAGTAGACTTAATCCTCATCCTAAACGTCTCTGCATACAAAACCCATGCACTCTCATTTCTATTCAACTTCAGAAACAAGCTCAACATATCATTACAAGTCTCAATCTTTGGCTCCAGACCCTTCTCCTTCATTATGTAAAAACACTGGACAGCCTCATCAGCCCTCTTAAATTGGCAGCAAGCCCTTATCAAGTAATCAAAAATCACTCTAACAGTAGCAACATCACTACAAATGATCCTTCTCAGGAGCAGCAAACTGGGCTTTGGTGATGGAATCCGAGAGGCAATGGTGATAGCTAGGCAACGATTACTGATACTGAATCGATCAAAGTTGACGTGGGCAGTGAACTGGAAAGCCAATTCAGAGTTTTGTGGAAATTAAAGAGGGTTGCTGATATAAGAGACAAACTGAGCTTTGGAGCCAGGTGTTTGATGAAATGCCACTGAGAAGAGCGGGCTTTATCTGCGAGGAGCTCAGAGGTTATTGTGGTTGATTTTGGGGAATGTCAGGAGACGGAGCTTGGAGTTGGGAAGTCTCTGGCTGTGGCTTTGAGGAGAAAAGTACAGCCGTGAGAGGGTACTTACTCAGAATAACAGTTTTGGGGCGACGGTTTTTGAGGACTTTGTATGCTCTCATATTTACTGGAGGAGAAGGTTTTTCCTGTAATTTTATAGCGGACAATCGGAGACAAGGACTGTATAATCGTCAGAGACGAGAGAACTTCTGTAACGTGAGAACTGCTGTCCGGTCCGTCGCCGACTCACCGGGGGCGGCTCTCCCCGCTCTATCGCTCAGCCCATCTGGGATGCGGGCTTAGGGCTTAAAAGTGTAATGTCGGCCCAATGTATTGCCCGTCTCAGGCCTTCTTATAGCCCACAAGGTAAAAATATTTTTAACATAGGATAGAAAAGTCTGGCCAGTGCGGACAGTATCTCTCTTTTTCCTTTTGTGTGTGTGTGTGTGTGTGTGTGTAATTCAGACAACGAAAATATCAAAACACCCTTAATGCATCATTCCAATGAATCAACTATCAGGAAAAATTCATTACAGATATATTTTTCACAACTTACACCGCACACTTTTTTTGCATCTGAACTGAGACATATTTTCCAATGTCAAATTAGATCATGTATTTTATCATAAATCAAGGTCATGTGGATATGGTAGTATCATAGATTCATCACCTCTATCAATCAATAATATATATAGAACTGTATCGTAGCTTCTTCCTCTCAATCTCCCACTATAGCTCAAGTCTAATACAAATTTCTTTTAAGTGATCAGGACTACTATATCTATCTATAATCATTTAAGCAGCAATTAAACTCTGACAAAACTTCTGTGGCTCACAATCTTCTTTTCACCACCTTGTCATCTAAGCCATCTGCAAAGAAGGAAATGATCTTAGCTAGAGAAATAAGAGATTGGCTAGGTAATGTCTCGGCAAAGCCAAAGTGGTAGAATATTGCAGAGTGTAGAGCAAATTAGCGACAAAGAAGCTAAGAAAACAGGATTCAAAATGATCATTAAAAATTCTGTACTATTTGTACCACATTACCATGTAACCACACAACAAATAACATGCTTCAATGGGGACACAACTGCTGGAAATTGATAACATACTACATCTATCAACTTCAAACAATGACACAGTAGGAGCACAAAAGAACCCCAAACAGAATAACTAACCAGTCACAGCTTTGCCATAATTCTCTCAATAGTGCAACTTCCAACATAAGGGGAAAAAATGATGCCAAAGAAACAATGAGTTTAAATTGCAAGGTCCAGAACAACTTCTTCACTAAGCAAATATAGAGAACACTGGTAACAATTGGAAGGTGGGTGGTTCTAAATGTTTATTTTTTTTTTTTTTTTGAACAAAGTGTCAAGGGTGGGATTCGAACTTCGAACCCACCAGGGGGAGGGGAGACTGCACCTTTAAGGTGGCCCGAAGGCCACTTGGCCCGAAGGGCCAGGTGCAGTTCTAAATGTTTAATTGCTCTTCCTAATTCCACAATTTAACATACTATCAATAGTTCTCAAAAGGCAAAAGTATGAGGACCCAAACTTGCACAAACTTCACAATTTTGGACCCAAACTTCCATTGTGGTCAGTTAAGGTCTCAAACTACACAAAATTCTCAAATAAGGTCCTATTTGGATGAAAAATTAACTTGTTGTCAAAAATGTCTTACAATTCCATTAATTCCGTTACTCTCTCAATGAGTTAACATTTGACAAGAAGTTAATTTTCCATTCAATTGGGACCTTATTTGAGAATTTCGTATAGTTTGAAACCTTAATTGAGCACAATTAAAGTTTGGGTCTAGAATTACGAATTTTGTGCAAGTTCAGGTCCTTATCCCATATTTTTGCCTTTTCAAAAGAAAAGAAAAGAAAACCAGCACTGGAATTACTACCAATTTCTTAAAAGTTCGAACTCCTTTTCTTCATCAGAAATGGCATGGTTACAGAAATCTAACAAAAGAAGTTATATATTGAACTGATATTGCCATAGTCAGGAACAATATGAATTGCCACACACAGTAATCGCATAAAGAAAACAGCCAAATTCCAATACTCAGGTAACAATAAAGGAAACAATTTTATGACTGAAATTGCATAAATAAAAGCCTCGACTGACCTGAATGATTTCAAGCAACAGAAATGGTTTTCCTTGTTGGAGTAAGATTCTTGTTGGATTTCTGATCAACAAAGTCCTCAGCATTGTAGATGACGGTGATGTAGAGAGAGCAGCTAGGGCAACGGGCGATTTCCTCACCGAGTTTTAGGTCTTTCTTAGTAATTTGGAAAAGATCACCACAAGGACACGGGTATGTATAAGCTTGCAGCTTCTCATTCCAATCCATGTCCTCTATCTCAACATCATCATAAGACATCTTTTTCAAATCTTTAACTTCTCAATAATCAGGACCTGAGAAACACGATACTTAGGAATAAATCCATGAAAGATTAGGAAATCCTTCATGGAATCCTTAATTCAACCAACAAGCCAAGCCCAGAAAAGAAAATACCCAAAAAAGAAAATCAGGAAAAACAAGCCTAGCTCTTCAAGAATCAAACAGAGTTACAAGCTAACTCAAAGAAAAGCAGTGGAAAATAGAAATACAGCCACCACGAAAAACCCCAGATATTGCATCTTAGAACCATGGAATTAAGAGTTAAATCTAAAAGAATTGAACTTTGCAAGATTGATCGAATAGATTTGAAGATAACGACGAACCTGAATAAAAACGCGGCGGTTGTTGGAGGAGGGAAAGGCGGAGCTGCTGCGGCGGCGGCGGCGCCAAAGAGCAAGCGAACCCCAGTAATAGGTGGTGGGTTCGCTTACAGTTTAAGCGTTGGTTTCGAGTTGTAGATGTTGCAATTTGGTCCTCTGGTTTTTTTGTATTTAACCTTTGTAAGCTCAATTTTCCAAAATGCCAAAATGGCAAAGACTTTGTCAGATTTATCAAGTCTATTTTTTTCTTAAATTTTGTGATATCAGAGCCTAAGTTGAAATCTCTTGGGCCAGGTTTAGGGTTCTAAGCCTAAGCATGTGGTGAGCAAGAGTGGGGATCTGTATAGTAATGGGACATCAATGCATCATTAGCCTTGCATGTGTTTTCAGTAATTTGTTGATCATTTAGAATATAGATTACGTGTTGGTACCCCTATTAGGAGTAAGTGACTAAATGAGTATATGTGAGATGATACTTCTCTTTGAATTCTTCATCCTTCCTATCCACTACTTCACCGTCATCTTGGTTATAGACTTGATTAGTGGAGCTTATGCTAATTAGAATTACCACTGGAAGATAGTGAATTTCTGATTCCTAATAAATGAGAATTTAATTATTTGGTAGTATTGGAAGTCCACTCCCATAAAATTGTCTATATTGCAACTTGGTTGAGTATTAAGAATGGTGTAGATTACTTGGAGACAGTTTTATACACAATATGAAAAGTTGCAATTTTACTTAAATAGAAAGTGAATTGAGAGTTTGTTAAAGGGGTTTTAATTCTTTAGCTTTTAATTAAAGTAATCCCTTCAAGCCTTGTTTCCTTATATATATATATATATATGCATGGAATTATATCATTGATTTTGCTACATTTCCATCAAGAATTAGAGTTGAATGCGAAGATTGGGTTTTTCAATTACTTGAACTTTTCTAGGCTAAAGTGGATATGATTTTGGTGAAATTGAAATGTGGTATTATTCTAATAGTGATTTTAAGGTCGATATTGGGAGACTAGTTGGAATCAGATGAAGATTTGGAGTTTATATAAGTTGTTGTTATTATTATTATGATTATTGTTTTTAAGTTAGTTTGGATTTTTTTACTACTCTAATGTTGTTAGAATGTGGAGCTCGTTAGCGAGATTTTTATGATATTTGAAAGAAAAAATTATAGAGAATTTCAACCTTCTATATTGGTCTAAGATCATTTAATCAACTAAATTGGCTTATAAGGAGACGAATTTCATTGAATTTAATTGAGGGGTTGTGCTAGTAGGAGTATGATTTTAGGATATAAAATGTTTCATTGATGGATTTGCAAACAATTGAGTTGTGTTAATTATAATTACATGGTTCGAACATCTTAAACATGGAATTGGAATGGTTTCTGGAGTTGTCTTTATGTTTTGCATGTTTAGACCACGTGACTAAGTTTGGGTGGTTCATAGATGTAAAAAAAAAAAAAAAGAAGGTTATGTTATAAGTTTATTGGAGAAAAAAGTATGGGAATGATTGATTAATTGGATAATGGACCAGCAATATAGAATTTATTAATGAGGTTAGTTTAAAATTTTACCCAAATGTATTTCCTTATTAAAAGGAGAAGGTGATTTTATCTCATAAGTATATGTTGAATTAAGTAGATTCAAGGTAAGGAAGTACAACTAAAATCTTAAAAATATTACGATAGTAGGTATCTTTGTAGTTTAAGAATGGTTTATATTATGATGAATGGTTATGAGGTTTGAGAAACGTAAGGAGCAGTTTTGAGAAGATGTATCATATCGTACTGTAAAGTACATATACAATGAAGTTTGGGGATGTGAGATGATTAATATTAAAAATTATAATGATTGTCCTTTGGAAAATGCTAATCAGAGTATTATACCTAAAAATTTAAAAATGTAAATGCATTTAACACTGAAAGAGAAATATGTAAGATATAGAGCTTGTTTTTCTTTTAATCATTTTAGCGATGATGCATAAATTAATTTATTGATTTTGTTGGATTATTTTTGCGTGAAGGAGTTTTGCTTATGATATTAATATATTCTTACCATGGGTTGTAATGATCATTTCTAGGGAGAGTATTACCCATACAAATTGTCTTATGTTTGATGGTTATTCTACAAGAATGTTTTAGGTTAAAGATTAAAGATAGGGATTTATAATGGAAGTTTAGTTTGTAGAAGTGTTATGTTGGTCTCGTGCCTGATATATTGTGAAGATACCCATAGTCATCCAAGGTTTGAATAGGGAAACTTGTAGATTTGTTTAGTGGTCTAAGCAAATGATGTTGAATAACTAATTTCCTTCAATGGGGTGATGGTT